ACCCAAATATCTGGGAAAGGTCAAGAGGGCAGCAGTTATCAGAGGAGACTCGAAGTAGGGGACACCTAAGCGTGAGCTTGCCTCATTCGGGGATGGATGGGAAAGATAAAGTCACGACCTCCTTTCTTTCCCATTCTTGACAAAAGGAAGGTTCTGAGTGAACCAGAAATTTTAATGCAGTGACTCCCTCAAGGATTTAAGTGTTCACGATGCAGGCCCCAGAGCCAGGGCCCTCTGCTACCCACCCCATGCTGGCCCTGAATCCCCATCTGGCCATGTACACGGTGTGTAGCGCCCACGTGGGTACCACACACCGCAGGCCGGCTGTCTCACAGGTCAGGATCAACAGCTCTCCCTCCTGGCTGCAATGGCCCAACCTCAACCCTGCAGGAACATGAAGGAAGCTGTCAAGTCTAGGGTAAGGAAGAAGAAACTGGAGTGTCTGGGATGGAGAGAGGAGGCAGTAGCCAAAAGTTCTGCTTGGAGGTCATCCTGACAATGGAGGGACTATCTACTGCCTGTTGAGTGCCCACAAGCAAAGATTTCTTTGGCCTCTGGGCAGTGGGGTCACCACTTGACCTGGAAAGGCTGATGTACGCTGCTGTCTATGGAGAGAGGAAGTCGTATTACTTTTCCCCAAATCAGACCACTAGCATAATTTGTCAGGGACTTGAGTAAAGGAGTGGCCAAGTTCATCAGGCTTACAGACTATTCGGGTGTCAAGGTCACCGTGCAGGACACCAGAGCGTTCTGGTATGCTGGAAAGCTCCCTTGTCTGAGTTAAGAGGCTCAGCCTGGGAGCCAGGAGACACGGCTGAGGATGGGCTTCCTGGTGGTCCTTGGAGGGGTCACCATGGAAACTGTCCCAGGAGCTGTGGGGTCACCTGAGTGACTACATCTCCCCTCCCTGCCCCAAGGAGAAGGGTTTATTACTTGCACATCAGGTAAGAGGAACACCAGGAATCTGGAGGCCTAAAGCAGTATCCCTGGCAACTACTAAATTCAGGATTCCAACGCGAACTGGAACCTCTCCTACAGTCTAAGGAAGTTCGAACAGTTCAGAGTCCTGAGTGTCTTTTGGAGAGCAGTCTTGCCTCTCCCGCGTTGGGGTGGAGGGACTGGGGAAAAGTTTGACTACAGGTACCACCCTTCACTTGTCTTCACGTAACAGAAGGGAATGAAATAACTGATGTTAATGAAGTTCCCCAGCAGGAGGCAGCACTGAGTTGCATATCATAATTAGAAACTAAAAACCTTCGTTCCTCTTGAGAACCTTACAATAAGGAACAAAATGACAGCTCAAAGTTCTTCCTTTTAAAACTGTCTCCCTGTGCTTTGGCCTCAGAACAGCTGGGAGAAGGAGGGATGGACCTCCACTCTGGCCACGGAGCCACCTCTCTGCCACTCTCCTGGCAAGACACATTCAAATCATCCTCCTTGGAATGTGTGCATTCAAGAAAACTGAATCTCTGTGACTCATACTTCCCCCCAGTTTATCTGCAATTTCCTTACCTTACTCATGCTCCTTTAACCGGCTGCAGACGGGGAGGGAGGCTTTGTTCTAGTTGCTTCCAGAAACCAAGGCATCTACTGCCCCTCCCTGGGGTGCTGGCCCTTCTGCACGGGATTAACTGTCCCACAGCAAAGGGTGCGTGTCCTCTGCTCGGGTGGGGGAGGGGTGGGCAGGGAGGTTTGGCCGTGCTCAGTTCTGAAGCTTATTTTGAAGAGGCCAGGTCTGTGAGTTCAGCAGTAAAGCCGGATGCACAAAGCAAGAACATTCATGCCTCAGCCCCTAAAGGCAGATTGCATCTTCTGGAAGGTCAGCTCCAGAAGGAAAGGGATTTGCTCTGCTCACAGCTCTATCTCCAGTGCCTAAAACAGTGCCTGCACATAGGCTCACAGTGGGCACTCAATAGATAGTGTTTGCATAAATGAGAAAATGCTATCAATCTTCTATAGCCCAGGCCTCAGTTCCAACCAATATGGCATAGAGAGCATGGGTTGGGTGGGGAGGGTGTAGCTCAGTGGTAGAGTGCATGCTTAGCATGCATGAGGTCTTAGGTTCAATCCCCAGTACCTCCTCTAAAAATAAATAAGTAAACCTAATCACTCCCCCTCCAAAGGGCATGGATTTTGAAGCTGGACAGATAGAAGTTGGAATCCGAATTCTGACGCACGCTAGTCACGGACATGTGTAAACTGGGAATAAAAACACCTATCTTACATTATTGGGGCCATAAGTAAGATTGTAGTAAAACTCCAGGCAGAGGGAAAGCACTTAACCAATGTTCTCCCCCCACCCCAACAATCAAAGCCATCCGATCTGTTTATCTTGTGCTGCCCACACACTTCAGCCTCACACACACTATGTTCATTCCAGACACACCTATGCAGTTTCCCCTGCAGCCTCCGTGTCCTCCGCACTTGTCACCTGCTCCTGTCCCGCTGACCTGTCACTCTGATTGGCACTTCATCACGCCTCCTTCGACTATTCCAATTTTTCTCAGGTGTCTGTCCTGAGGTTCTCTTGTATTGCCTCAAGGCTTCGCATCATGCTGGGTATGGATGAGGCTTAGCAAAGGCTTGTGAAATCAGAATGAGGTGGACACAGCTGGAAAAGACATTTGCTGGTCTGCTGACGAAGCCCACCCTTCCCAAAGCGCTGGTTTTCAGACCACAGCATCTCTCGGTTGGCCCTGTGTCCCTGGGCCTTACTTTGAGTCGTTTAATGGTGACTGTCACACTAAAGGGTGCCAGCGGAAAGATGGCCTCTGCCGGTACCTCCGCCTGGCTGCCTGGGAGTTGGAGAGATGACAGCAGTGGAGGCTGGAAAAATCAATCAGGTCCTGATGCTCTGCTTAGGCTGGTTGGGTCATTCATTCCCCAGTGTTCTGGGTTTGGCCTTCTCATCGCTTACTCTGTGAAGCCCTGAAGCTGGCATTTCTTTCTGGCTCACTCAGACTGGAGACCCCCGTGGCCTCTCCCCTCCTTCCACTTTACCCAGTGCGGTCAAGTCTCCCCTTCTCCCATCTCCATGGTTCTGATCGGCTTCTTCCTTCATGTATAGAAAAGCCAATAGCTTTGACATGCCTCCAGCTCAACAGCTCTCCTGTCCCCCGTACTTTAGGTCATTCACGATCCAGGGAGGCCCTCCTGAAACTAAAACCCTATCTGTCCTAGTCTCTCCTCCTCTGTGAAGGCTCTCAGATCCCCTGAGCTCCTGGCACTGACAGCCTCCACGCATCCGACGATCACGTTAAGTATTGCTTTATGACATCACGGTGTCCTTTTACTCACCGGCTATAGGACCCCTCATCTCCAGGTCAGGTTGTAAGCTCCTTGGGAAACACACACTTACAGCTTAAGACTGTTCTTTGCATTTCCTGGTTCATAGCATGTGCCATCTGCCCCAGTGTTGTCACTGGGTTCCCTGACGGTGGTGACAAGTGCTTTTGCTGATGCTAGAGGGTGGGCCGGCCCAACCACAAAGTTCCTGGACTATCCCAGTGGGTGTCACACTGGACCATGGGACTTATCTCTCTGAGGACAATGATGTTAACTTCCCCGAGGACAAGGACTGCTGTGGATCTTTGCCACCGCACAGCACCCAGCCAGGGTGATGCTCAAGGAAGACCTGGGTTTTCTGGGGGACACTTTTGTTCAGCAGGAAAGGCTCACAACTTGTGAACAATTTTCTTACGGTCAGAGAAGCCAGCTTTTTACCCTCTTGGACCCTGAGAGGTAGGATCAAGAAGGGTAATGGACCTGATATGATCATGCAGACTTGTGAGCAAGACCTCTGGTTGGATGCCCGGTGGAAGTAAGATACTTTTAGTGGAAGCCAAGGGCTTAGGGAGCTGATCCAATCTCTAGTCTGATCCTAGCTGGAGATTTTGTTGCCTTTGCTCTGGTGGTGGCCCCTCTATCTCCTCACTTCCTATCTGTAGGAAAAGGATATGCTGTGTGACTGGAGCCAACAACTTCCACACTGTCACCAGGCACAGGGATTCCAGCTGCCTCAGTCCTTGTGAGGGGGAGACTCCTGCTCAGCTCTAGAAGAGGCTAGGAAAGGGACACGTCCATGAAGGCCCGCTGTTCCCCAAATGGCAGGGTGACAAATGTTGAGTCCAGAGCTGGTAAGATCCAGGTCAGCCACTGCCTCCTGATCCAAGGCCATCTATCCCCTAGCACACTCTGTGATGAGAAACACCTGCTGCTTCTCAGCAATTCCTCTGGCTGGCGTTCAAGGCCCTTAGAAATCTGGCCCCCCCTTTTTGGCTGGGTATAAAAGCCACCCACACCCACACAAATTGCCTGCTCTGGCCAAAGCAGGCAACTTGATGTCCTGGCCTCGGACAGCCTGGTTCCCCAAGACCACGTGACCTTGACGACATGGTTCCTACCTCTCCCCAGCCACTCATTCTTGGGACCCAGCTGTAGCACCACCTCCATGAAGCCTTCCTTGCATGGACTGCTCGCCGGTGCCCAACCCTTTATAATCTTTTATGCCACCTTTTCTTACGGAGAAAGTTTACATTTCAGTGAAATCCCCAAGGCAGAGAGCTGCTCACATTTGGGCTCCTATGGCCGTTCACACAACGGAACACTGGACAAATATCCCAGGGCACAGGTTCAAGGAGACTAAGTTGGCCGAGGCTCAGGGTCTTCCCTTTGACATTTGCAGGGAAGGGGACCACAGAGCAAAGAGGGCTGAGTCACTGGGCACGTTTGGGGGGCGGGGACACAGCCCAGAAAAGAGGCAGCACCCACCGCTGAAAAACAAGAGATGGAGAGCAGCAGAGCTGAAGCCCAGCCCATCTGTCATGGACCAGGCTGCACCGTTCCCTTCTCCGAGCTGTACAATGAAGGTAAGACTTGCTCTACTTACCTGACATAATCCGTGTGACTGTCAAACAAGATACACAGAAAGTGTTGACAAGCACTGGACACATGGTAGTCGGTGTTAGCTAGACTTGAAAAGAGCTCAGACAGGGGCCAACTCTGGGCCCTAGGGCGAAGGTGGCTTTTATTTCCTTTCTTGGGAAGGGAGGGAGGGGAGTTTTTCCACACCGTCCTAAGGAAGGGGCAGGTGCGCCCCCAGAGGACGGGGCTGGAAGAGCCGGAGGACCACTCAGAAGGGCTCCTGTCTGTGTCCACTGGCTTGCCCTGGGCTGCAGGGTGTGCCTGAGGTTCCTCTCCTTGGGGTGACAGCTCCTGCAGGGAGGGAGGCACATGGAGGTATCTGCTGGTGTCCATGAAGAGGAAAGGGGAGCAGGTGCCCTGAGTGAGGGAGCAGGGGGCTGGGGTGGCCGACCCCGCGCCCTACGCCTGCGCAGGATGGTCGCTTGCTTAAGGCCTGGCTGGTGTGGCTCTTCTCCCGAGAGGCCATTGGAGCCCAGAGGCATTGCCTGATCCGATGGCTGGTCCTTCAAATGTCCATCTCAAACTGTGACTCTTCACCTGGAGAGAGATGGGACAGAGGGTCAGGTGAGCCATGGGCACATGGTAGGGCTGACATTCTAGAGGCCAGGAAGAGGCATGGCCTTCCAACCCGTTGTTCCTAAGAGGAAAGCAGGGGCCAGGTCTGTGCTGCCAGAGTCCAAGCAGGACTAGGAGTTCCTGGAAATACTCTCTTCCCCAACCCCAAGTGAACAGCGGAGGGGGGAGGGTAGAGCTCAGCGGTAGAGGGCATGCCTAGCATACAGGAGGTCCTGGGTTCAATCCACAGTACCTCTATTTACATAAATAAATATAAACAAACAAACAAACAAACCTAATTCCCCCTCCCTGAAAAATAACAAAACAAAAAAACCACAAATGAACAGCGGAGAGATCACATCTCTCTACAGGAGAGGTGACAGCCCTGAATTTTGTAAAATTTTTATTATTTTTAATAAGAGTGAATGGTTCCTTGGGATTTGAAATACATGCAACTCCACGGACAAACATTCCTTAAACTTGAAACCTGTTTGAACACACGTGCCAGCTTCTGGGTTAGAAACGGCACCGTAACCTACTAGGCATACCCCCGATCACCCACGGAGCAGCCTAACCTTGCGGTAAAGCAGTCGCCTGGGTAATTGAGCCACTCACTGCCTTCACCCAACTTTTACCATTAAATTTTCTAAATAATTCAGGCTGCAGAAGGTTGTTTCATTTTTCATGGGAAGCCTCGTCCCTGATCTCCAGGGCCAGGCTGCTCCAAGGTTCCCCATGGCAGGATGCCTGCTCTGACCCCCACAGGGGAACAACTCTTCTTGTGGTTCTGTGTACACAATACGTGGATCCAAGGGCAGGTGCCTTGGCTTCTTATATCCAGTTAAGCAAAATGGAAAATTACGTCCCTCCCTCTCCACTACACCCCATCCCAGCAACCGTGGGGACTGCCAGGCTGCTATTGAGGGGGTCAGAGCTGTGCGCCAGGGAAATTGCTGGGCTGACCTGCATTTGTCTTGGCACAGAGCAACTCTAGAAACTGGGAGGGAACAGGGTGTGCAAGTGAAGGTGATGAACAGCCTTCAGGTACTGGTGACATGCCAATTTCAGGCGTCGACAACCTCCACATCCTCAACTTCCAGTCTTTGGTTTGAGGCAGAAAGTTGGGGACCGACCACATGAGTCTATCCATCCTTCTCTTAGTCCTTTAACAAAGGGCAGGGAGCAAGGCTGCCTGGGGGGAGCCAGTCCCTCCTACCGCTCTCTGTGTGTGCCCAGGGCCACCCCTCTTCCATCCACTGCTCCCTGAGTCTGAAGGTGAGGCAACCCTGGCCCATCTCAGGTGGCAGGGCTCCCAAGGTAATTATGAATCACATCCTGCCAGCCCCGGAGAGATGGTTCTGCTGCTGTCAGCAGAGCCTGTCCAGCCCGAGGTCCCAGCTGCTTTCTGTCTGGGCTTGATAGACTGCCTTCCAGTGAAGGGTCAGCAGGTTCCAGGCTGACTCAGGTCGTATGCAAGGGCTTATGCTGCATCCTCCCACAGTGGGGGCGCTCAGAACCTCTGGCAAGCCGGTCCCGATGCCACAGAGAGTGAATTCACACACACCTCTGCCAGGTTGGCTGCTCTGATTACCAGCTGGGGAGGCAGGGAGCTGGGTGGAGGGGAGAGGGGCAGACACCAGGAAGGATCCCCATGTCAAGCCTGCAGAAATACCAGGGAAAAGAGCTGTCAATCCAGAGACTACCTCTAAGCCAGGGTGTAAGAGAAGGGACAAAGACCACTGCTATTGGCTCTTGGATCAGCCTGCCTTCCCCTCCTGGAGGTGCACTTTTGCTTTGCTAATAAAATCTTTAAAAGCTTTTGCTACACACACACACACACATATAAACCCTGCAGAAACAACTCATTTCACTGTTTCTACTGTCTTCACGGAGAACCATGGACAACGCCCTGCAGAAGGCGCCCTAGATGCCTTTCTGATCCAGACGTGATTTCCTAGAGGGTGAGGACACAGCGCCTTTGATAAGGCACCTCCTGCACTATGAACGTCGTGGGTGTGTTCCAAGTGTTGCAGACACATGGACAGGCTTCAGAGACAATCATATAAAGGTTATCAAAGTGCTTATCAAAGTGGCTGCCTGCTCCCCTCTCATTTCAAACAAGCTCTCCACCAATGAGGTTACTAATGAGGCCAAATCACCTTTAGTGTTCCTGAGCCCCTCTCATGGGGAAAGTTGGTCCAGATTAAAGTTCTACAGCCCCGCTCCCCCCGACATCTGGGCTCTGGGCCACTCCACGGAGGGTGGGGCAGTTGCCATCATACCCCACCTTGGAATTCCCTCGACCAGATGGGACCACACACATTCCCTTCCCCAGCCGCCACTCACCGCCCGCCGGCTTGTCCTCCGGGCTGCTGCGCAGGTGGTTCTGGCTGGCTTCTGTGGGAGGCTCCTCACCCGTGGGGCTAGTGACCCCCGGGATGGTGGGCAGGTCCCGTGGGGGCGTCCTGGTCACAGGTGAGTTCCGACACTCCATCAGGAACTTCCGGTCGTAGATGATCCTGGTACCTGGAAGGGGGCGGGGACACTGATCAAGCCGTCTCAAAGCCCCTTCCTGCTCTTTTTCCCACTTCTTTGAGGCGTGACTGCAGCAGAGGTATCTGGTTTTCCTGCAAAAGCCTGGGCAGAGGAGTGAGGCTCACTCCATGCCTGGCTGCAGCCCAGGACTCTACTGCCACCAAACTGCCCTGACTCCCATCCGTGGGCACTCCGATAGCCACCTGAACGCATCCTTCCTACCCTGTGCTCTCACCTCAGAGCTCATCAACTCACTCCCCGACTCTGCGCTTGGTGTTAACACTCAGGACCATCACATCTGACAGCGGAGAAAGTGCGTTTTTTTATGCATTTTTCGATTCCATCCTCACAGTGCCCTTGTGGGGTATCCAGCATTTTAAACTCCATTTTACAAAGGAGCAAACAGAAAATTAAGTGATCCCTCTAGCTAGTAAAAATGAGAACTTTTCCTGCCCGAACTCTGTGGAAGAGTGATACCCGGGCTCTCCCGCCCCACAGAGGCTCTCTGTAACTCAGCCCACCTCCCCTGACCACCAGTCTCTGTCCCCTATTCCGCCTGGCAGCCGTTTCCTCATCCATTCCGACGTGTCACCACCCTTCAGGGTTGGTACACAGTCTGCATTCCACTCCTTTAATTTTCACTCTCCTTTCTCAAATGTCACCCTAGGGGGTGGCAACCATGTCTGATAGAATTACTGACTATCCTTAAACCAACCCAGGACCCCTCCAGTGAGGACAGCTCCTTGAGAGACACCTTATAAAGGAGTGTTTTCTCAAGCAGAGGACCCAGGAGCCTTGTGGGAGGCCAAATGATTCATCAAATAAGTGAAGAGTGAGGTTATTCAGGACTGGTCCTTGTATGATCCTATCTCTAAAGCACCAGTGTCCCCCAGTAATATAGCACCTCCCTCATAAATGCTGATAACTCCCTTCTCAACAAAGGGCAGGCCTCAGGCTCAAAGCCTGTGGCAGGCAGAGGAATCCAGCTAGAATTTAAAACTGTCTTGTTGTCATTGTATTTCTTTTTATAGCTACCTTCTATTTATGGCAAGTGAATCTGGTTTTCCATATATAGTTGTGACATCAAGCTTCCTTTTAATATATACAATAGGCTAAAATTTAACATGACAAGAGTACATGTTATATGTTTCATAAGGTGTAATGTACATAAAATAGTAAAAACTAAATTTAAAAGGGAAGATGATGTGAAGAGACATACTAAATATGCGTCTACAAGTAGAATGCAAGGTAAAGACTGAAGATGACACCAGAAATTGACACAACATTGGAAACTGACTATATTGCAATAAAAAAATATATACAAAAATAAGGAACACAAATGTAGATTAAGAAAAAGGCTGCAGACGGACAGTGAACGATCCCAGGTTAGAACCAGGCTTCCAGGACTTCAGGTATGCCCTTCCTTGTCAAGGCCCTGAAATGTCTCCCTCATTGAGGGGCTCTGATGAGTGACATTCCAAAGCTGAGATTCACTTCTCGATGTTAGGCACTGTCTGCCTATTATCCCCTGGAGAGGAGAGGGACCAATTTGCATCTCTGAGCTCTGACACGAGTTAATGAGATTGGGCTGCTCACAGGGCTGAGGAGGACCCGGAATTGCTTAAGAGCAGAGGATGGAGAGAGATACGTAAGGATGAACTTGGCCAACTTGCTCCCGTCAGCCTGGTCAGACTCTGGCCTGTCTAGGCGGCCACCCGGTCTTCCTCTCCTCATCTGGCAGGCAATGATGAGAGGGCTGACTGCCCTCCTCTTCATCCCTAGGAGGACTAAAGTTCACAGCTCACGTTTCTTAGGGGGAGGGGTGCCCGGCCAAGAGCACAGAACCCAAGCTAGACTTTAGGCTCTGCTGCCAACCCTGTGCCTCTGTGCCCGCCCCTCCCCCTTTGGGCCTCACCTGTGACATGCAGGTTCCTCATCTGCCACGTGGAGGGCTGTGGGCTTCACGTGCGCAGCGTGAAGGCTGTGAGAGAAGCCCAGTGAGCTACAAATGGAGAAAACGGTGCCCTCTCCTTGAGGAGGCATGTCATGGCTTCACAGATGGGAGGGACCACTTTTCTCTGTTTCTCAGTCCTCCCGGCCTGGTACCTTACCTCTTTATCCCTCTGCCCCCCTCTCACCTTGGCTTCTTTGTTGGTTTGCCCACCACAGAGTAGGGACCCAAGAAC